TGGGAGGGGATAACTCTGTGTGTGTGTGTGTGTGTGTGTGAAGGGTATAGGTTATATGGAAACTTTGTATTTTCTGCTCAATTTCCCTCTAAACCTAAAACTGCTCTAAAAAATAGTCTATACATATTTTCTTTAGGAAAATTTAATTATAGAATGTATAGATGCACTAGGTCAGACTGCTTGAACTGCTTTTGTAGAATAATAACTATAGGGAATTAAAAAGAACCAATAACAAAATACAGATGCCACAAGATCTCATTTCCAGACACAACCAGTCCCATCAGTAGTAGAGCAGTACTATTATAATCATAGTAAATAAAGGAGAGAGAGGACTCAGAATTCTTAAGAATATATGTAATGCCTTTTCTACTCAGGGGCAATGAGTCAAATTCTGACAGTAGTAATACTTTTGGATGCTTTGTAGTTTTCAACATACTTTCACTTACATGGTCCCTGATTGATCTGCTCCCTATTGCCTACCAAGCTCAGCACCTCTGGGGGCACTTTGCAGCTTTTCATTATGCCATCAATGTCAATAATTATGTTGTTTCTTGTTCCACTTACTGAGGATTAGAAGAATTCTTCAAGTCTTAATACAGTGCGTGTCCATTGAATCAGATTCTTAGAGCTAGAAGGGACTTCAGAAATGATCTTTAACAACAGGTTATGATATAAATACACGGAGACCTAGAGATAATGAGTGCCTTAACTAATTGGCTGGAGAAATGGACAGAGAAGAGGCATCTTCCACTACCACCCCTGCTTCATCTGCCTTGCCCCTGGGGAATCCTAAAAACCTGAAATAAGACTTCCATAGCCACTCAACAGCTAATCAATTCTTCCTTAACTCAATCTCTCAAGTCAGCCCTTTGTTTTTCACTGACACTAATATTCCAAATTGTTTTCTTATCCCTCAATATCTTTCCTACACCATAGTCATCCTGAAGGTTTTTGTTCTCTCTCAACTGCAGTGCACCCTACCTGGAGTATCAGATAAATCCTCCTAATGACAGATTTCTTATGGCTTCTTTTGTGTAAAACACAAAATCTAAATCTCTCAACAGAGCATTTAAGGGACTCCACAATTTGATTCCTTCCTACTCTCCATAATCATGAACCTAATAACCATTCAGACTATTTCTATTTCTACTTCTTGTTTTCTAGCATATTGCAGGCAACCTTTCCTTTGTATCTTTCTTCACACTGCCCTCTCCTGGAAATGCTCCCTGTCTTAGTTTAAGCTGTTATGACAAAATGCTATAGATTGGGTGACTTATAAACAACAAAAATTTGTTTCTCACAGTTCTGGAGCCTGAGTAGTCCAAGGGCAAGTCCCTGGCAGATTTCGTGTCTGGAGGGCCTGCCTCCTGGTGCATAGATGGCAGCATCCTGACATGGCAGGAGACGTGAAGGAACTCTCTTAAAGTCTCTTTTATAAGGATACTGATCTCATTCATGAGGGCTCTGTCCTAATGACCTAATTATCTCTAGGAGGCCTCACCTCCAAATATCATATTGAAGATTAGGTATGAACATATGAATTTTGGATTTGGGGAGGACACAAACATTCAGTCTATATTACTCTCTAATTTATTGGACCTCTTATTTCCTCAATCCTAGATAAATTTCTCCCTTTCCCTATATATTCTTTCTTGACTGCCACAAGATAATAATTTTTCTCTTTACTGAATCCCAAAAGAACTTCTTGCCTGTAGCATTCATTGGGCACTTTGCATAAGTATTCTGCAAATTTATTTAAATTATGATTTCTATACCTTACCTGTTGAATTAGTTTAAATTCCTTGAAGGCAGGAATCTTATATTGCCAGTTTCCATCAATGTGCTTGCAGAGAGCAATATTCAGTGACAGTTTATTTATAGGAATGACAGTTTTAGACACAATATCACAGGATTTGAAATCTTTGAATCATCTGATGCCAAAGTATTCCTTTACATATTCCAAAGATAATATATTTCAGTGTTTAGTGATATTTTTGTTAAGGCAGTAACTTCTGGGACATGATTAAAATTCCAAATGCAATATTTAACTGTATACAGTGAACTTCTGTCAACAACTTTCTTAAAAAGTAAACCACTTTTGACTGTCTTCTTATATATTTGATGAGATTGTCATAACACTATCAGGTTGAAGAGTGAGATTCTTACATGAATAACTAAAGGTTGTTTAACCTTAACAATCTCTAAAGGTTGTTTAACATTAAAAAAATTAAACTCTGTTCACCAAATGTTCTTTGGTATAATACAATTAAAAATTTTATCTTTTCTTTGTGTAGTTGTCACTATAAATAATCATTTTTTCCATTTTCTTAAATAGCATATCATGTCATACCCATCTTTTTAGTTTGAACATTTTCCCTCCCATAGAAGATGAACTGATAAGGATTAGGAGTAGAAAGTCGATTGTAATTTTGAAATTTTTTGCGTCAAGTATATTTAAAAATGTGAATTCTCTACCAAGAAAAAAAATGAAGTAGGATGATTTGGTATATGTTTCAGAAATAAAATAAAATTCATGACAATCTTGAGATAAAGTTCAGTCAGATAAATCGAAATGAAGCTTTTTAATCTATTTGCACTGCTGGTATATGTATATATATTATATATATAATTTAAATAAATTAAAAGAACCAAGGAGAACAGCATACGTGTATTCTTTCAATAACTATAGTAATAGTTTAAAAATAATGCCAAAATATTGAACCAGAGAATTTCATCCTAAAGTTTGCTATATGAATTAGAACATTATTATAATCAATATTTCCAGTTCCTTGAACACTGGAACACCAAATATCCTGTAATCATATTACTAACAGGAATAAAAATCACTTGCTTAATCATTATTAACTAAAGGCAAGACAAATATTTACTTTTCCACTTAAAATGTATGATAAAGTAAATTGAGTCCATATACATTGTTGAAGGGGTAATACAAAGTTTACTAGACATATAAGTCAGACTGTAAGTAGGTGTTCTATACCTAGTGCAAGTGCCAAGAAAGGCAAATAAGAAAAGTGTTTACTATTTCATAACATACAAACTATATATTTAATATTTGATTTTTATTAATTTCTGAATTTTCATAAATTAAAAATGAAGGAAATAAAATTATCTTACATAACACATTCTAAAAATATAATTTATCTACTCTGACAAAGACTTTTTAATAATGCTAGATTTAATGATATGGTTTAAGTTTTCTCTTTAGCATTTATTATATCCATCATACACTATATTTGACTTAATTACCTTGTTCATTCTGTCTCCACCACTAAACTATAACTGTATTAGGTCAGATGTCAAGGCAACTTCTACATCTCTGATGCTTACAAGAGTACATGGAGCATACAAAGTACCTTAAAAATACTTATGGTAATAAATGAATGTTTCCCAAAGATTTATGATACAGAGTCATAGTATTAAAAGATATGATATAAAATAATGATTTAAAATGTGAATTTGGTTTAAAAACATAACAAAAAAATCACCAAATATCAGAAGTAGACAAGGTTTCTTATTAGTAAATGGTTTTATCCCATCATTCCATTTTGTAGATATAGAAATTAAGGTTTGAAGAGATCAGGTGATTTGTCAGACCATGGAATTTTTGTACTAAAAGACATTTTAAACCTCATATAATCCAAATATTCAGGTGTTTAGGGCTATTCAGCCTATGCTTTAATACTTGCAGTGATAATGGGTTTCCTAATCCGTGAAAGCATCATATTTAGCCTTTTAAGAAAACTACTTGCTAGAAACTTCTTTCTTATACACAATTAAGACTTGTATTCTTATGCTTTAATGCTTTAATCTAATCCTAGTTATATCCTTTGGTAATACACAGTATGTCTAGTCAAGGAAATTATTTTATAGATAGATGATAGATGATAGACAGATAGATGATAGATGATAGATGATAAATAAGTAGATATATGATAGATAGACAATACATAAATGATAGATAGATAGACAGATAGATAGATAGATAGATAGATAGATAGATAGATAGATAGAGGTGTAAAAGGTTAAATTTGAGGCCTGTTATGATGAGAGTTCTGGGCCGAACAGTCTTCTTGCTTCCACTCTTCCTTTAATAACTCTTTGTCTGCTGACTTGTCTCGTGATAAATCCTGGACTATACACACACACATACACATACGCATACACACACATATATATATACAGAGAACATACATATATATGTATATATAATTGTTATAGACAAACACACATTATATAAGCATCTTTTACACAGAAAGGTGTATGCATTTATATTTTGTATTTTATAGAAGAATCAGTTAAAAATGTTTAAAATATGTAATAATCTTTTAAATTACATTTTCCCTCTTTGTTTAATTTGTACTATATCAGGGACCTCAAACACAAAACCATGTTGTACTTGTCTCAGCCTCTAAGAGCCTAAATTGAGTCTCTTTCCATATAAAAGTTGTTTTATTAAAATATTTGTTAAAATGTTTAAATGTTTCAATAATCATTCTATTGTAACATTTCAACCAAATATCTCTAATTCCCAGGTTGTTTCAAGATTAATGAAATCCCACTCTTCCCTGAATATTTTACTTATTTTGCTCCCTCTTAAAAATGTAGCTTCAAGAATTAAACACAGTGCTCTAGATTTGGTCCTACTAGGACAGAATAGCATGGGTTTATCCTGATTCATTCATAAAAGTGTATTTCTCCAAATACAACCTTTAATTCCATTTGGTTTTTCAGTATCCATATCATGTTTGACTCACATTGACCGTAATGTCAAAAAAAATTCTTAATTGTTTTCTATATGATACTGCTACACTAAGTTTCCTTTACATTTATGCAGTTGAACTTTCTTTAGGGGAGGAGATTAAATAACTGTTTTACATTAAAAAAATAGTGTTTTGTTCACAGTAGATACATATTCTGAAAGTTAAACAAAAAATTTAATTGAGGGGTATAAAAATATAAATTTGAGATGCATATCCTACCTATAAAAGCCTGGTGGCACTTGCTGTACCAGGAAGCTCTTCTCCATGTCTTGGAGAATGTCATTCAGCATTCGGACACGGATGGGAACTCTCTCCTTGGGATCATTAGCAGGACGCATCTCATCTGACTGAAAGAGTTCAGCACTCTCTCGCAGGCGTGAGGCCAGGGCTAGCAGTTGATGGGTGTTGGGCTGATCACCTGGTGAAGATAAATGAGCTCATCTCAGAAGAGACTTTCTCAAAGGAATAAAATAACCATTTTATAATGATGATGTTTTCATTTTACCAACAACATTCTGTTTAAATATACCATATTCTACTAAATTATTAAATTTGTTACTACTACTACTAATATTAGTAGTAATAATAATAATGATAATAATAATAATAATTATGACTAATAATAATACAAGTAAATACGTACTGATAGGTGAAAGACTGCTACGTTCCAGGCTCTAGGCTGAGCCCTTCATATAATTATCTCATTTAATATTCACCAAATCTTGTATTGTCATGTCTATTTCATAGAAGCTGAGAATTAGAGTAAGGAAATTGGCATAGGTCATTAAGCAAGTAAACAACAGGCTGGAATTAGAAGAATGATTTTTCTGACTCAAAAATTCATGCTCATGATGGAGTATCCTGTATTTCGGAGAAAAAATGTAAAAAGAATTATCTTCTTTTCTGAGAACATATATTACTATGTGTTATTATGAGTCTATGGGATCTTTTTACGAAAAATTTTCTGTAATTTGAAGTTAAAATACATGTTTGATTTGAAAATACACTGACAACTTTCCTAATGTTTATATTATTTTGTTTTGCTTTTGAGATGATTTTTGATTGTTGTTTTTTTTTGTTTATGTAACTTACTGGATGCAATTCTGATGTGATTGGTGGTAGCAGAGACCACAGGTCATTCCACTAAGAGAAAAGCAGCATTAGTATATGGATTATAGCCACCAGATCCCATAGCTAGACCACTTGAGTTCAAATCTCTGCTCTACCAATAAGTAGCTGTGTGATGTCAGGCAAGTTACTGAACCTCAGTGTCCTCATCTATGAAATTGACATAAGAAAAGCACCTGCTTCATAGATTTGTTATGAGGATTAAATTATCAATAAACACCTTGTTTAAAGAGCATTCTTTTATTATGCCATAGCAGGGGCATTTCCTCCTCATCTTCTTCCTGATATACCCGCCATTAGAGCCAGTCTTTGGTGAGGCAATGGTAAATGATGTCATTCTCAGGGGACTAGGTACAACTGACTCCAACAAAGACAGCATATCACTACAAAGAAATATTTCAAGTCAAAGTAATGAAATGAACATAGGCCTAGTAAATCTAAGCAGGCAGTCCTGAGAGCATGTCATTGAGATAAGCAGATGGAGAGATGAAAAGAGGCCTTATAGCACCCACTCT